AGTGTCATTTGGCTGACTGGGACTCTACTGGTTGCACTTCTTATAAGAATCCCCTTAGGAGGCTGGGAGTGGTGTTCCCCCCTTCATAAAATCCTCTTAGGAGGCTGGGAAGGGTGGCGTGCTCCCCCCACCACTTGCATCCTCCTTTGTTGCACAGCTTGCTTGTGTCTGGGGAATAAACCAAAGTAAAAATGTCCAACTCAAGCCAAGGCCACAGTTATGTTTTCCATGTTAACTGACTGGAGGACTTGAATACTGTTCAGATGGCAGTAGTTCCCAAATTGATCTACGGATTCAACTCAGTCTGTTTAAATCCCAGATTGCTTTTTTTGTAGAAACTGGTTAGATGTACAATTCATATAGAAGTAAAGAAGGGACCTAGAATAGCCAAAACGATTGAAGAGGAATAATGTTGGAGAAGTTTTGTTTCTTTTTTCACAATTTACACCAAAGCTGTAATAATCAAGACTGTGGTTCTGACGTGAGGATGGACACGTAGACCAATGGAGCGAGCGGAGAGTCCAGAAATGAATGCCAACTAGGGCCAGTTACCTCTGGCAAGGACACTAAGGCAGCTTATTGGAGAAGGAATGGTATCTTCAACAATTGGTGCTGAAACAACTGCATATCCACATGCAGAGGAATGAAGCTGTATGAGGAGGACCCAGAACAGCTGGAATTTATTTATAAAAAATTGTATATTTATTCGTACGTGTTTAAACTTCAGTAACTTTCAGAGTTCTCTCCGTTTGATGTAATACACCTATTGAGATGCTTTTTCTACTGCTCAAAACAGTTTTAACTTGCCAATTTTGATACCTTTTAGTGCTTTTGCTGCTTTTTGTTTCACCTCTTCCATATCAGCAAAATGTTTTGCTGTGAGGACTAGTTTCATCTGGGGAAACAAAAACAAAAGTCACTTGGGGCGATATCAGATGAATAGGAAGGATGGGACATGGGGGGGCTTCTATTTTTGGTCAAAAACTACTGAATACTCAGTGTATTGTGGGCAGGTAAATTGTGATGGATGATAACCAGTCACCTGTTTGCCACAACTTAGGACGTTTCTTCCATAAATATTGACTCAACCTTCTCAGAACTTCCAGATAGAAACTTTGGTTGACCATTTGATCCGGAGGAACTAATTCCAAGTGTACTACAAGGGGCCTGCCCTCCAAAAGATAATTTTGGTTTTTCTGTGGGGGGAGCTCACCCTCATATATCATATATAAAAATTAACACAAAATGAATCAAAGACCTAAATGCAAGCTAAAACTATAAAACTCTTAGGGAAAAAAATAGGTGTCTTTATGACCTTGGATTAGAACATGGTTTCTTAGATATGATACCAAAAGCACAAGCAACCAAAGAAAAAACATAAATTCGAGTTATCAAAATTTAAAATTTTGGTGTTTCAAATGATAATATCAAAAAAATGAAAAGCGACTGGGCGCAGTGGCTCATGCCTGTAATTCCAACACTTTGGGAGGTCAAGAAGGAAAGATTGCTTGAGCCTAGGATTCAAGACCAGCTTGGGCAACATGACGAGACCTCATCTCTACAAAAAATTTAAAAATTTGCTGGGTGTGGTGGCCTGTAGTCCCAGCTGCTTGGGAGGCTAAGGCAGGAGGATCACCTAAGCACAGGAGGTTGAGGCTGCAGTGAGTCAGTCGTGCTACTGCACTCCAACCTGGGCAACAGAGTGAAACCCTGAATCAAAAAAGAAAAAAAAGGACCCCCACAGAATGAGTGGGAGTATTTAAAACTCACATATCTAATATTGGTCTAGTGTTCGACCAATTCTGAACTGTTGTTTCCCCATCCTTAACTTTATACCGTGTTATGTGAGTGAGCAGTCGAATCCCATTATTCCTGTGTGTTTTTAGAGGAGTTTGTGTGGATCGTGGGACCAATCACATTCTCTATCCTCTTTCTGCAGAGGAGATGCCCATACAGTCATGACAGTTTTCAGTGGAGAAAAAAACTCAAAATAACAATAAAACAATTATGAAAGAATCTGAAGCTTGAAAGTGATGGTTTGCTCAATGAAAGGGGAAAAGTACTTGTGATTCATAACATTTTCGGATAAAAAGTACTTAACATTGCTTAATTTATGGTGCAGCTCCACAGTGCTGTCATCATCTGAAGTAAATAATGGAAAAATTCTTGGTGTGTCACATGTCTGTTTTCAGCCAATCAGAAGCCAGGGTTATTTTGCATGTAATAATAGGGATCACTCAGAGAGGTGCTGTTCTAGGACTTGCAGGGTACAGAGTGTTCAGGCTTCTTAGTTGTAGCAAAGAGAATTGGGTGGGGTTTTGGACATTTTCATATTTACTTTTGAGTTTTGGCAGTAGAAACATACAACCCTGTCCTTTCGATTCTAGGTTTTAAAATGTTGCTTACTCTTAATACTCCTTAAGGTAACAGCATTGATTACTGCTTTTACTGTTGATGAAACAACTTAATGGGCTGTAAAGGAAAAATTTCCAGATTTTAGTGGGGAGAGAGAATTTTATGAAAATGCTTTTGAGGTTCCCACCACCTTTATGAAAATGTCTGCGAGATTTCCGTCACCATCTCTGCCCATTTTCTTGTCACCGGAGCTGGTTGATTCAGGTTCTGTGCCAGGTTCCTCTTGTTCACTGAATGAGCTAGACAGTATTTCTCACCTTTTAAGGAAAATATCCGTGGATATCAATGAAATTAAAGGAATGAAAGCAGCAATTTTGACAGTAGAAGCAAGTGTTTTTGATCTAAATGTTAGAGTGTCGCAGAATGAAGCAAAAATTTCATCTTTGGAGGTTAAAATGAATGAATATTTACCATCCACATCTGAATGCAACAGACAGTTCGGAGATCTTCAGGAAGTAGATTTGGAATCACAGTCAGGGGCCGCTGACATACAGATCATTGACTTTCTTAGAAACATCGAGAAAGGTAAACTCTCAGGACAGCATGTCTCCTGTTTTCCTCCTGGGTCTGTGTCTTCCCACTTGTGTCACTGTTGCTCTGACTTGGAGGGAGCGCATCAAATGGGATACCACGTGATTGACCTTAGAAGCTAGAGTTGATGTGAATCCTGTCCTCTTTAGTGATGCTTTCCAAAGTGATGTTTTGAAAAGACAGATGGATGTAGAGAGATGAAGCAGAGCTGGAATGTGAGCGATCCTCTCCCGTGTCTGCGTGAAATTATTTTTATACGAAGGGGGCCCCCCAAAAAACAGAATTCATTTCTAAAAAGTTGTGTATTCTGACATGTTTAAACTTCAGTCACCTTCTAGGCACTCTCTGTTTGATGTAATACACCTGTTGAGATGCTTTTTCTGCTGCTCAAAGCAGTTTTTGAACTCATCAGTTTTGATGCCTTTTAGTGCTTCCGCTGATTGTGTGCTACCTCTTCCATGTGAGCCAAACATTTCCCTTGGAGGACTTATTTCCAGGGAAACAAAGAAGCCACTCAGGATGAGACTGGGTGAACAGGGAGGATGGGGCATGGGGTCATGCCGTTTGGGGTCAAAAACTGCTAAACACTCAGCACAGTGTAGGCAGGTGCTCTCGTGTAAATCACCCATCATGAAGTGGGCAAACGTTGAAAGACTCTCTAAGGAAAATTCACTGAAGCCAGACGCAGCCTATCACCACACTAGCTGGTTGATGGATGCCGATGGGTTCCTAGAACACTTACTTAGTGGGTGATTCATGTACTACAAGGGGCCCACCTCCAAAAGATAATTCTGGTTGGGGGGGGGTCCTCCCTCATATAATTCTTTCATGATACACTCTTATGTTAAGGAAGCCTGTGGTAGCGTTTGAACCTGGTGTTTGGAAGCACATTTTTCGTGTATCCTGTAGCATGTCAGTTTTCTAGGCTGTCCTGCAGGAATATAGTGTGACCTAAATGACATCTGGGTTGCAGCTCTGTTCTACAGGCAGAAAGAATTTGTGTTTTTGGAAGGAATTCGCTTTTGTTTTTGAACACACCACTAAAGGGTGATGTTGTATAACTTAGGTTTTTTTTTTTGAGTTGGAGTCTCAGTCACCCAGACTGGAGTGCAGTGGCCGCTCCCGGCCACCGCAGCCTCACCTGCTGGGCTCCGGCGATCCTTCCGCCTCAACCTTCCGAGTAGCCGAATTACAGGCATGCGCCACCACGCCCGGCTGATTTTTTGATTTATTGTAGAGATGAGGTCTCGCTGCCCAGGTGGGTCTCGAACCCGCGGGCTCAGGCAGTCCACTCACCTCAGCCTCGCAAAGGTGCGGGATTACAGGCTGAGCCACTGAGCCCGGCTAACTTACGTTTTAACAGAGATGAGCTGATAAAATTTGAGATCAGATACAGCTTTGAAAATGTCCGGACATCTTTTAATGGATCATGGCACTTGGTGAGAGATTACCACTTATGTGTTTGCATTGAGCATGCAAAGTCTGTCCTTGGGAACCACGTTACCAGTGGGTCTTGAACTTCTGGCCCCAGGTGACCCTCCCGCCTCGGCCTCCCCAGGTCCTCCCAGCTGTGCGGAAGATTCACATGGCTGTGCTCCTGCTTTGCTAGCAGGTCATGGGGCACAGGGCCGCGTATTGTGGTGTTTGCTTACCAGTATCCAAACCCAGGGCTTGTCTTTAGGAATTCCTGGAGCTGATGGCTGGAGTGTGGGTTTCATCTTCAGAAGTCAGGGGAGGGTGGGAGAGCCTGGCACTGGGAGCGGTATGCTGAGCCAGGGGTGCCTCGCCGTGGCTCCGGCCCTTTTACCTTGACTCTCCACAGACTTGACTGGAAACCTGCATTTTCACGGAGCGAGGACAGGAGGGGCCTGAGTGTCCACATATGGACAAGCCCTCAGCACAGCTTTGTGTCTCCCAGGATAGGCCTTTGCATTGTTGAGTCTTTAGGTTGTTTTTAAGGCTTTGAATTAAGAACCTAAAAGGGTTAAGTGTGGGCTCTACATGTCGCAACTGTGTGTGTTCAGCATAGTGAAGTTTTCATGTTTGTGTTCTAGGAACTCAGCAGAGACAGTTACTATCCCGACTGCAGGTGGACCCAGTGATGGCTGAGACGCTGCAGATCAGCCCAGGTTGGTGCCACTTCTGTGTTCACTGTCACCAGCAATTCCAGGTGCCATTCCCAACACTTTACTTGGTGTATCCTGTGTCTCCCTACCCTGAGATGCTGTTCCAGTTTGCCAGCAGGTGTTGGACCAGGAGAGAGGCTCTGCGCTGCTCCACGTGGTGCAGTGCTTGCATGTCACCTCCTTCAGAAGGGTCTCCCTGCCTCACTCTGCCTTCACTCCAGGGCGACCTTGGGTCCCCTCCCTCCCTCCCTGCGTGGCTCTCCCTGGCCTGAGCTTCAGCCTCACCTCACCGACGCCTAATGCCAGGGCCACGCTAGCTTGTGTTCTGGAGCCATCATGACTTGCTTACCTGTCATGCCCCTGGCATGCACTCACCCCCACAGATGGGGGGCTGCTTCAGGGCAGGGCTGGGGCCTGATTTGCCATCTCTGTCCTCTGTGTCCAGCCCTGCCAGGTGTGTGTTCAGGCGTTTCAGGTGATAGTGGAGCAGACACAGGGAGCTGATGACACCTGGTGTCTTTTCATTCTTTGTCCTGGGGTGGCTGCTGCTGCTGTGAAGTTGGGCCCCTCAGCCCTTCATTGCTCTCCCTTTTCTGAATTTTTTTCCCCATAAGTCAGAACTCCACAACCAGCACCTCTGTGCCTCCTCTGCCCCAGTTCTCCATTTCAGAAAGGTGTGTTCTCCTTGGGGACGCTGGCCTCCACCCAGTGCTGGCTTCTACCTGCTGCCGCATGTCTGGTGTCTCCTTTCTCTCAGCAGCGATGGTCTCCTCAACCCCAGCCCTCCACAGAAGCACAGCCAGAAGGCTGGGGCCGGGCCTTGTCCATGGCCTTCCTGCCAGCTCCAGGGCTGCTTTCTCCCTTGTTTCCTTCCGTTTCTCCCTTCACTCGTCATGAAGGTCCTGTGAGACCGTGAGTGGCCATGGCCCTCGGTCTCTCCTGCCACATGGTTAGTTCCTCCAGCCTTGCCTCTGCGTCTCCCATCCGTGGCACGCACAGTGACTCTGTCTTGCATCGTGTGCGTGATTTACTCTCTGAGCATGTGGAAGGTTCCTGTGTGTCTGCCCCTCCCAGCTCGGGCTCGTCTTCTCTGGCTGCTTGCTTGTTCTTTGCTGCTAGAGGTCTTTCAGCTGTCTGGGGACCATCTTCTATTTCTCCCTGGCATTCCTGAGTCCCAGGTTGGGTGTGGGGCTTGGACTTCCCATCTGAATGTGGGTCTGCCGGGGAGTGACAAGTCCTGCCTGTCTGGTGTGGGGGCCCCTGATGTCAGTGCCTTGGGGTCCTCAGGCTGGTCCCTCTGCAGAGAAGGATCTTGGAGGTCATAACCCGGTTGTCAGAGTTTGGGAAACTTTATGGGAAGCAAGGCTGGAAGGCACCACAGAATGAGTTGCACTTGTCCGGGGGACACCACTCCCCGAGGGCCAGGAGGCCCTCTTCCAGCATGGCCGGTGGCCTCAGCCCAGGGGCCCTGCGTCCTCCCCTTCTGAAGAGTCCAGAACGCCATGTTCTCCCAGGGAAAGTGTGCAGCGAATGGTTGTCGTCGTGAATGGGATGGCTCTGTAGTATGTCACTGATGCATGCACAGCTGGTTGGGTAGCGTCTCCTCAGCAGGGACCTGCCACTTTATCTTAGGCCTCTGGGGAGGTCTGGCACCAGGCAAGGTCGGGATAGAGCTGCTCGGTTCTGTCTGTCCTCCCATGTTCCCTACCAAGGCCCCTTAGCTGTTTGTTTCTCAGCCTCAGGAGGATCGTGGGTCTGCACTCGCTGCCTCGTTGACTGAGGCCCATGAGCAAGTCCTCCTGTTTGCACTTGCCCAGTGTGTTCTTTCCTTTTACAGTTAGCTATTTTGTGGGCTTGTGCTTAGAAACCCCACAAAACCCAACCCTTCTGGACAGTTCCATGGGATTTCAGGAGGGAACAGAACATACATGTGGGGCTCAGCTTGTGGCCTCTACTCAGATGCCAATCGCTGTCCCCTGCCTGTCCCTATGTGATGTGGGCTGCTGGTGCTGAGCCAGCAGAGGGGCAGCAGCTATGGATAGCAAGCCCTGGGACAGTGTCTCCTGAACTCTGGTGGTGTCGCTCCCTCAGTGTGTGATGCTGTGGCTTCCAGGACTCACTTCCTCTCACTCCCATCTCCTTCCTCCAACCCCTCCCCTCATGTTCTACACCTTACAACCCCACCCCCCATGTCTTCTGTCTTACCCTCGGTGCCGTCTTCATCTCTGTGCTCTCCTGAGCATGACCTTGTGCAACTGCTTCTCCATTGTGGGGTGGCCAGAGCTGCAGCAGCCCTGGGCCCTCCTGGGCTCCCCCTTGGGGCTTGTGCCATCAGGACTGCCCTGAGTCTCCCAGGATAGGCCTTCAGGGATCATTGGTGAGCTTGGAGATGCAGGTGTTGCCTGTGCGCTGAGAGGAAGTGGCTTCTTCGGCTCATGAGGATGCAGTGAGTGCTGCAGCCCTGCCTGTGAGCCAGCACCTGCCACCTGCAGTCTACGCTGTTGCTCTCTCCCCTCCTGAGGGTCAAAGCAGAATTAGCAGCTTCTCCTCAGCACGAGGGCCCCAGAGACTCCGTGAAAGACCTGGTCGGATCTGGGCTTGGCCCCTTGACCCCCACCCTGTCTCCTGTCCTGTCTTCTGTCTCGGCCGCCCTCCTGCCCACTCCCTCCATTGACCTCCCTCTTCCATCTGCCCCTCTTGGGGTGGTGACTGGAAAGTGTGGCCACGGGAGTTCTGGTACAGAGGAGTGGGTGCCTCCTCTCCCCTCAGGTGTTAGAAGGGGACCGAGTAGAGATTCTAGGCCCAAGTCTGGCCCACCTTCCTGGACAGCAGCCTTCTGACAAGTCTGGGTCTCCGGCTCTCTCTCAGCCTGTTTTTCTGAAGACTAGCCTGCTCAGGGGCTGCCCTACTCAGGACCCTTTGGATTCCTATTACTTCTAGAAACACACACACCCTGCCGCCCTCCTCAGAGCTGGACTCAGAGCTGCTGAGAACGCAGGCCCCTTTAGTACATGCCTGCCTGCCCTGTCGGTGCCCACCCTTCCCCACTCCTTCCCGCCCACCTTCCTCTGCTGGCTGGCATCCCTGTCAGGCTCTTGCTGACCCCCTCGTTTCTTCTCCCTGCGCCTGTGCGCAGCTGCCTGGGTGCCCTGTGCCATGCTGTTCTGGGATTGTGTCTATGTATGCTTTTGTTTTCCTTGTGTACCTCGCTCGGTCCCCTTAGTTGCTGAGTGAATCATTTTCATTGAATGTCCTCCATATTATTTACCTGTTGGTAGGGCGGCCGCACCCAATGCTGGGCTGTGGGGCTTGGTGGCTCTCACAAGACAGGCTTGAGGAACACATTGTAGGTGGTATGAGCATATGGTCATGTGCACTGAAGACCGTGTTCTGTTGCTGTGTGTTTTTTAAATGCTTGTCCTCCTAAAGTTCTCCCTTCAAGCAGTCCTTCGGCTCCACTGGGCAGACATTCTGCCTCCTGATGCCCTTCCTCGGGCAGTGCTCTTCATGGTGTCCTATTAATGTCCGTAAGCTGCCTCCCACAAGTACCTTCTCTGCTTTAGAAGGATGTGTTCCCCAGCCTCCCTCATGGCGGTCCTGGGAGGAGAGAACTCCCCGGGCTCTTTGGAAAAATGTTTGGAATGGAATTCCAGCCTTCTTTCCTCCCAAGTGGGGCCAGTTGTGAGTTTTCTTTGACAACATTTATGACTATATACAGGACTGACATTCTTCTCACGTGGGTGATGTTGGGAATGCAGGGTATATTCAGAAGTAAACATTTGGCCAATTCTTTTGGCTCAGATTTCTATGACATGGAGTCCATGGTCCATGCAGACACGCGATCATTTATTCTGAAGAAGCCAAGGCTGTCTGAGGAAGTAGTAGTGGCGCCAGACCACGAGGCGGGGATGAAGACGGCAGAGGCCCCTCGGGCCCTTTCGGGACACCTTATGCAGACACGGTAGATGGTTTCTTTTTCTTGTGCAGCTCATGGGTGATTAGCTAGTACAGGGGACCCAGCCCCAGACCCTTCACCCCGGCCAAGAGTATGCTCATAGTTAGCCTAGCTGCCTTCAGGGATTCCAGTTCATGCTTCCTGTTCAAAAATTCCTTAATCTACACATGAAAAGCCGGTGTGTGATTTAACACCACTAAGAAGCTTCACTTCTCTGTGCACATCCAGGAAATGCAATATTGCAAGCCAGATGGCACCATCAGGAAGTCTGTCTAGAGTTAGCAGATCAGGCCTGGGCAACTCTTCCCTTAGGACACGGGTTCTGTGTCCTGGAGAGGGACAGACACGGCTAGTGAGGCAAGTGTGTGTGGAAAACCGCCGGCCCTGTGCTCAGCCTTGATGCTCACATTTGGTTTATCTCCATGCTGACCCCATGAGGATCAAGTGCGTGATGGGGCCAGGGTTGAGGGCAGTGTCTCCAGTCAGCACAGGCTGCAGGTCTCTGGTGACCCCACTGCGGGCCTGGCTGTGCCATCACATGTCAGCAGGACTCACTATACCGGGAAGTCCTGCCAGGCCTGCCTGACTGAGCCAGACATGGAGCCAGGGAGCATAGTTGTGCTGCAGGACACTTAGGAGGGCGGCAGGGTGTGTGTGTTTCCCTAATTCTGTGGTATTTTTTATCTGTCTGGCAGGGATCTTGTACAACCAGATAAGCCTGCAAGTCCCAAGTTTATAGTGACGCTGGACGGTGTCCCCAGCCCCCCAGGATACATGTCAGACCAAGAGGAGGACATGGGCTTTGAAGGAGTGAGACCCGTAAACCCAGCTGCAGCCTCCAGCAAGGGACTCAGAGGCCTCCTGCAGCCTCCGCACAGTCTCAGGCAGCCTGAGGACCCAGATGGTAGCTTTTCCGACGGTGTGTTGAGCCACACCCCTCCTCCCGGTGCTGTCATTGTCAGGGGCGTCTTCGTTTACCTTGAGTGAATGTTGGGTAGAGGTCTTGCCTTTATTTCTATTCAGGAATAGCTTTTTCTTCCTTCAAACAGAACCACTGGTTCACTTCCAGCCTGTCCTGTGGTTCATGGGTGGGCTGGTTCCAGTGCTGATGGGGGGTCCATCGTGGAGCCTGAGCCACCCTTTCCTTCTGCCTGGGGAGGACAGGCCTCACTCCTGGGGCCTTGTTTCCCCTCTCCTTTCTTGCACTTTCCCCTTGCACCCGCCGTATTCTCTTGTAATTAACTCGGGAGAAAAGTGAGTTTGTATTTTGATCCTATTTCTACCTCAGTGAGATTTCTTTGAAAGGAGCTTCTCACCTCATCTGTCAAGATACTTCTTTGAGGGCAGAAAGCCCTTGTGCTTGGATGGACGCTGCGGAATAGCATTCAGCAGAACTCCACGAACTCACTTTGGAGAGTACCAGCTTTGGGGTGGGCAATTTGTCACTGCTGCTTCTCTTGCTGGATTCCAGCGGCAGCAGCAACACACCTGGTCATTTTCACTCCCGACAGAGTGGGTTCCAGCTTTTAGAAGCACCTCTTCTTTGGCGGGGGAGATAACCACTGACTCTTAAAAACAATAATGAATTTTGAAAATTTTCCCCATTAACCCTCTTCTTGGCAGAGATATAAAAACGTGTTGAATGCTTTTTTCAATCACTAGAAATACAAAAGTCTTGAGGGGCTCATGAGCTGGGGAAGAGCTGACACCAGCTTCAACCAGTGCTTTTCCTGCTGGGAACCAGTGACATGTGGCATGGTTTTGATGAGTGGAGGGAGGTGAACACTGGACCCCTTCAAGGGAAGAAACGTTTAGAAACAGTAACCAGGCCGGTCTCGGTGGCTCAGCCTGTAATCCCGCGCTTTGGGAGGCTGAGGTGAGTGGATTGCCTGAGCCTGCGGGTTCAAGACCTGCCTGGGCAACTTGGCGAGACCTCATCTCTACAATAAATCAAAAAATCAGCCGGGCGTGGTAGTGCGTGCTTGTAATTCCGGCTACTCGGAAGGCTGAGGTGGAAGGATCGCCGGAGC